CGATCGCTTCTTGCTCCTTCTTCTTAAGTTTCGAATCGGCAAAAACGATGTCTGACTCATCCAAATGGGAGATCGTACCGTTGAGGTAGTCACGGAATTTCTTAAGAGCTGCATAATATGGCACCTTGTCAGCTGCGCGCGGCAATTGTGCGCATCTTGCACTACTCGATGGCATCACCCACATGTACTGCAATATATTGTAACAAATATTCATATATAAATATAAATATGTATATATATATATATATATATATATATATATATATACATGGTGTATGTGTATAATAGAAAAACTTCACATTTAATTATAATGTCTAATGTGAAAGGAGAAAGAAAAGAAAAAAAAGAAAAACGACAACAACAAAATAGGAAAAATAAAATTAAACGAATTATCCTTACCGTATTTGTACCCTCGACGAGGTTCGGTTGTCTACCAAATCCAAATTCCTTCTTCCCCGAGAATACCTCGTAAATCAATTTCCCGTTGAACACCGCGATTTTTGGCTTATATTTTCGCAATTTCTCTAACAGTATATGACTACCTGTTGAAAAGAGAAAAGAGAAAAAGATTGTAGAAAAAAAAGAAATGAGAAAACAAAAAAAAAAAAAACGATATTGCTTTCAATTCATTCGATCAGACGGCGCACCAAAATACATACATACATACATACCCTATATACATACATACATACATATATACATGCATATATTGTGTATAATCTATTAGTATACAGAAGTTTCCATCAGTTTATAAAATCGATACGTTTACTGGCAATTAATATTCCACTTTCTATATATGTATGTATATGTATATTTGTGAGCGTCTAGTGTGCGTGTGCGTGTGGATGCGTATCTATGTATGCGTGGAATTAGCTTCGGTAAACTACCTACATTAGGATCAGTAATTTATCAATTATGTTCAATGCAGAGTGAATAATCCAAAATCATTCAATTTACACCGAGGATACATTGCTACCTATCAAATCCCTTTACGCGATTGGTTAATGAGATATCTTTTCGCGCGACAATCTTTGAATTCCACCACTGTCCATTGTCGACGATTATATTTCTTTTATATAATTGTTATCGTTCATTGGCAACTTATTTTACTATTATATCATATCGTATCAATTCGTACACGTAACTCCCTCTTCCCCCTCCCCCCTCCCCCCCGTTGAATGATCAATAATATAAAAACAATACTACCAACTGTAGATTTTTCTCAATTAATCAGGCTTATTTTTTCTTTTTTTTTTTTTCAATTTCATGCAAATATTCTAATTTTTCTTTTCTTTTTTCTTTTCTATTTTCCTTTTTCTTTTTTTTTTTTTTTTTTGTTTTTGCCTTTTTCCCCGTGAAATTATTTTACGAATTTTTTATCGAATTTTTTAGTCAAAAAATTTTGCCGTTTATCCTTCTGGTCTAGTAAAATCTGATATTATTTTTCTTTTATTTTCTTTTTTTCTCCTTCTTCCCCCACCAATCAACCAACCAACCAACCAACCAACCAACCCAGCAACTAACTCTTCTCTCCCATCTCGCCCCCGTCCAATCATGATATAATCGACGAATTTGTTCGTCACTTTAAATTGAACAACGGAACTATTCTATTTAATTAACGTTGCAAAATTTCCTTTCTTTATTATTCGAAAATATTTTTCTTAAGTTATATTAAATAGACAGACAGAAGTTGTGTTCGGAGATACCAACGAAAGTTTCTAGCCTATCGAAAATATTTCCTAGATGATCTTAAAAATCAAATTACCCAATATTCCCATTAATCTTTTCTGACTAATTCTTTCTTTCTTTTTTTTTTTTTTTTTGTTTCTCTTTTTCTTTATCAAATCACAAAGTTACGTTAAGCCTAGGAACGTTTTTACGATTCAAAACAAAAGAAAAAGAAAAGAAGAGGAAGAAAAAGAAATTCCCGAAATAAATAAATTTTGAGAGGGGAGGAGAGAAAGAAAAAAAAGAAAAAAGAAAAAAGAAAAAAAACGGAAAGTAATAGAAAAATTTCAAAGTCATTTAAGAGACGTCATTTTGTCTCGGTCCCTATATAAAAATATATAAATAATTTCGATGATATTAAATCCCAATAAATAATATAAATATTACCATATAGATCACGGGTTACGTTTTATGCACGTATATAGTGATTTTTAAATGAGTAAACGTTGGGACGATTTGATTCAATTTGTGATAGTTCAAGTGTTTAAAAGTTCGATACTTTCGAGCGATAAATCGATGAACAAAGAGAATTTTTCACTTACATAGGAATATCGATTAAACCTATTAAGATAAATTTCTTTATCTACATCATGACACGACGTGAGAACCATTCGAACATATTTTTCTTTTCATCGAACAGATTCGTTTTTCTATTGTTTTGTGCGTCTATGTGCACGTTTGTGTGCGTTATACGTGTGTGTATGTGTAAGTGTGTGGTACGTACGCATCGAGTTATATTATCTTGTCTTATCAAAAAAATTATCTAATATAT